GCGGGCTTTGTTCCCGGACCCCGGGCTGCAGGCCGGCGTGGGCGCGGCTGGCGGCGGAGGCCGGCCGGCGGCCCTCGGCGGGGTCCGCATCCGCCCCGCGCCTCGCTCCTCCCTCGGGGGCGGGGGGCGGCCTCCCCGAGCTCCCCGGCCGGCGAGGCCCCCCTCGGCGGCGTGACGTGGAAGGGCTTCCTGTGGCTTCTGAGGAGACAGGTTCACGTGGGAGCCTGTCCACATGGGCCGACTCTGAGGAGCTGGGCACGTGGAAGAAATGTCGCCGCAGGACGCCCCGCCACCGATGTGGAAGGGCCCTTCGCCCAGGTGTCCGCTTCAAGAGTGACACAAAGCATGAGTTAAAAGACAGTACAACCTCCAGTCTTCTAAACTTCCCTATATGTCTCCATTGTTGAGTGCGGTAACTAGCGTGTGACAGGTTTCTTTTATGTTTTTCTCGTGGGAAATGTGTATCTTGATGGTAGTTAAGAAAAAGTAATATAGGATCTCGAGGCTTAGAAACTGTAACAGCGAGTGAGGAGCCTTAACAAAGCCAGACTGCTGTGTCCAGCGTGAGATAAGGAGTCCCCCAATCCTCAAGTGTTTGAGTACCTTGTGAGTCATTTCTTCTGGACCTTGGGAATCCGTCCCAGACACCCCACTTCCTGTGTTCATTGGACATTACACTAGGACGAAGAGACGTCGGTGATAAATGCTGTGAAGAAAATAAAATGTGCTGGCGGTTATTTTTTAACCTTTTTTGTGTTTTCCAGACTAAAGGGTCTAGGTTGTGACTAAAGCTAGGTAAGGATGCAATGCGTTCATTTAAATGGAAACAGTTATGGGGAAACTACATGTTTTTTGGATGGAGTAATCTATACTTTAATAAAACATTAAATATCAATGGGACTGGTCTGCCTAATGACTCACTTCAAGCTAGCAAGAACTGAAAATGATCGTTAAAGGATTTGTTTCAGGCGTTTTGTATTACGGTAATTTGGCCTGTATTCAGGAACTTAACTTCCTCAACCAGAAAGTAATTTAAGTTTTCGTGGCTTTAATCTCTTACCCAAATTGACAAAACTGAATTTTGTCAACCAATGATTAAGAACGCCTGTGCAAGAATGATGTTGGTGCTACTTCAAAGGAAGTAGACAGTACATTGTCTCAGTTGATAACGTAAAGGCGCACAGATCTATAAACCCAACCATTTGGGAGACAGAAAGGAAGCTGGCACATTCACATCCTGGAGCTTGCCCTAAAAAGTTAAATGAAATAGCTCAGCTGTAGAAGAGTTGCCTGTGGCTTGCACGAGTCTATAGGCTCAGTATTACTTCTGCAAATAGACGCACATGTTAGTGCGTATGTACGTGCGTACATATATGTATCCTGAGCTGTGCAGGTGAATGCTCCATGGCTGAAATGTTACGGGCCAGAAGTGTTTCCGGTTTTTGTTTCTGGATTGGGGAATATTTGGAGATATTAAATAGTGGGGAATTTCTTGGGCTAGGACCCAATTCTAAACGTGAACTGTACCTTTATTTTGTATAGGCAGTGTACACATACTGAAGGCAATTTTAAATCTGTTTCCTGCAGTTATATTTTGAGACCTATGCAGACACAACAGCGGCATGTTAGTTCCCAGAACACTGGATTTGGTAGTTTCAGCCTTTATAAGGCGCTACCTGCATTGTTAGATCTTGCTTTTTCGGTCTGTAGTCCACCGATAGCTTGTGAACTACCATCCTCGTCCCACTCTTGTTCAGACTCTTGGTTTTGGTTGGTTCTGGCCCTATGCAGGATCCACCTTCCTCAGTCTTGTTAACTTGAATCTCTGCTTTGAAGTACTTTGAGGAGGCCTAATGTTTATTATGCAGGCGTTGCTCTAGGAAACCTACATGATTATGGAGAAGATACATCTATGTCTATCTATATATATGTGGAAATTATTCAATAGCCGAGCTGAGCATTTGCTCTCTTAAAGAACTTCAACTTTGTTCATTATGTTTCTCTTGCCCCTGTAGAACCCTGGGTGTTTGCCAGGATTGGGATGAATTTAGGGATTTGGGAGTGAGGTTAAAGATTCAAAACTAATTTGGTTCTCTTTGCAGTTTGCTTTAGACTGAACTTAAAGTATTATAATATGTTACAAAACCTACTTCAGGAGTTTAATATGGCTTTTAATGATGACGAACCAAAGAGCTTTTCCCTTACCTTCTCGACATCCAAACTTTTCTTTAATAATTGAATTTACTTCCCTTTTTTGTTCTGCCTGATAACTGATTACCCCAGGATGATACTTAATGATTTCTACTACTAAGGCCTTTGAGACATCTTTTAAATCCATAACACATATGTAAGAACTGATAACTGTAGATTTGCCCTTTTTTCATTGTTCTATTCTGTAATTACACGTTTATATTTTGGTTTCTTTACAAAGCCAGATTTCTGAAGGGGAGCCTGTACCCCTCAGCTTTTTGTCACGAAGTCTCAGTGACTGACTGGGCAGAGGCAGCTTGTCTGCCAGGTTTATACTTAGCATTAAGGTGAAATCATTTGGATAAAAATACTAGTCCTCATCAGTGTAGTGCCTATGGCAGGAATGGAGATTCAGTTGAGTTTTGAATCAAAGGGACATTGTCACTAATACATTTAAAACCAATAGTCACAAATTGGACAAAGCAGACAACTGAAAATGGAAGAGAAATAGAGGCAATCAAAATAGTTTTTTGTCTCAGTGGTTTGATTTTCAGCCATCTTTCATAATAGTGTAATTTACATTAAAAATATGCAAAAGGCTGGGAGTGTATCTTAGTAGATGAACTGGCTGCCATAGTGAATTCCTAGGTTCTATCTACACCTACACCAACATGAATAAATAGTCTCAGTCTCGTGTTCTCCGGCTTTCTCTATCTTTGATTTGGTTGCCTGGTAGAATCCTCAACAGTTTGCTGCCCCCTAGTGTTTGACTTATCTTGAAGTTTCTTGGCACCTGTCCTCAGTTCTAAAGTTAGAAATCTGCATTCCCATAGATGTACCTATGGCTTTTCTCTAGTTGATTACTGGTGCAAATATAAAATGAGTATCTATTTTTAAAAACCGATTGTAATTGCATTTAGTCTCCAGTTTTCCAAATACGGAAAAAAAAATTGGATAGACACAGAATCAATGTATCTTTCAAAAGAATATGTTTTTTTTTTAATTTGCAAAAGCAGTTTGTTAAAATAGGTAGTGTTTGAAATTAGCTTTGTACATGCATAATGACTATTTAATCTGGGCTTCTTGAGAAGGGTATTAAACTTTTGGCTTAATTTGTTCTATGTAACTATGTTGTACTGATAATAAAGTTTGAAAATGTCAAATTCACATGGTGACCTTGCTTTAAAAATTAAGTAATTTTTAAATAAAAAAGTCTCTAGGTTATTTCATTACCACTAGATTTCATAGTCTTTTATAGTTTCAGATTATGCCAATTATCAGTTTTTCAGAATATTTGTTTTTATTCTTTAAGGCCTGTGGGTGGGCTACAGTCACACTTAGATTTTTATGAAATAAAATATTTTAATTCTCAATAAAAATTTACTGGAATATTTTAAAATGTGTTTAGTAGGTATAAAGCAATATACAACCGAAATGAAAAGTTTAAGTAACAGCAAGGTTACTGAAATCATTCTCAACTGTGTAGGTCACGTGTAGTATTCAGAAATGTTAGAATAAAATCATTTAGTGTTGTATCGCAATAGTGTAGAATGTTATTTTCCTAATTATTTTTAATAGAACATGCTCAGTATTACAGGCTACCCAGATATAGAGACTGGATACTTGGTGTACTTTTTAATGTTAAAAGATGTTCTAATAGGACGATAGCAGTAGTTACGTTTATGCAAATGTAAGGATAACATCTTGTTACTGTATGGTTTTGTTGTTGTTTATTTTGTTTTTGCTTTTTTGGGAGGCGGGGGAAGCAGTATCTAGAAGTTAATAGTAGATCTTATAATTATCCACTTTTATAATTATCCTCTATAATCCCTTTAAAAGATGCTTTGCTGCTGAAAGGGAAATGTCAGCTAATACTAGTCCTTGAATTAACATTTTCAGCAGCTATAATTTTGTCCTTAATTCACAATCAACTTTTAGAGGTAGCCAGCTTATTCTGAAAAAGCTTTTAGGGATGAGACATGAATCAGAATGTTGTAGGGAACATCTCATCGTATTGAGCAGAAGTGCTACAAGAGATGCAAAGCGTGACAGAGGCTATCTTCAACCTTCTCATTCGTCTGAGACTTTTCAGTGATTAATTTAGATTTAGATTGATTTTCATTCAGTAAAACTGGGAGTTAGAAAAATCTCAGTTGCAGTAAGATTGTAAAGGTCTATGTCCTACTGTGCTATTTGATGTCTAACAAGACATTTCAGATGGGACTTTGAACAAATCTAAATTTTTTGTGAATTCACTGTTACCTAGT